GAAAAATTTAGCTGTAGCAGATAGAAAAAAATGGCGAGGTGTGTATTTTTGAGTTTTATTTGCAAGGATTCACAGCCATTATTTTTTTTGCGTTTATGTTTTTTGGGAAAGGCATTCATTTTTGTTTGTATGTGACACAAAAAAAGTAAACAATTTCAAATTTATAGATTAAATAAACGAGCATTTTTTGTTTGGTGGAACATATTATTGTAGATTATGTACATTCTTCTAGCTGTTTAATTTTTTCTTTGCTGACGTTCTTCTAGGAACACAATCATATACAACATAGCCATACACAGAGGAATTTTGAAGGGGGGGTTTTTAATTCGAAAAAAAAACGAATAAAATATTTGAAAAAAATTTTTTTGGAATTTTAGTTTTGTACAATACTAGAAAAACCATTTGGTTGTGTTATTATACCGGTTCTTCATCAGCTGTAGGACTGAGCATTTGTTCTTCATCATCTTCACCACGACCTTTCCGCTATCGTAGATATTTTTTCGATTTTTTTACACACACACAAATACACGCGAACACATACAAATGAATGTTAATTAAATATAGAAGAATGAAAATATTTAATACCTCAATGATTTTTTTGTTTTCAAATTTATATATATGTTTGTAAATATATATATTTTTTGGTATATGTTTGTGATATGATATTGTGTTGTATAATTATTTTGTTACTGTTGTAGATGATGTTTTGTGACACATTTATATAGATTTAAAAAATTACAGAGTAACAAACAAAACCTTTTTTAATTTTAATTATAAAAAACAATGTATTTGGAAAGAATTGTAGCAATTCTTCCAAAAAAGTTCTCTTCTCGAAATTGTTTATATCTGTTTTGTGTATTTTTTTTTTTCAATTACCACCTAAAATACATAAACTTAACAACATAAATATTTTATATATACTTGATTTAACATCTAAGGCAACAAAAGCATGCCAAAGTAAGTTTACTTTTTTTTTTTTGTTTTATTTATCGAAAAAATATAATCATTACTGAGCTATGGTCTAAACTTGAAAACGGAAAAACACACAAGGATAAACGTTATCATCAATCGGAATTCTATAACTCGTATATAATCGAAAAGAGTATATTGAAATAAATAGTTTATTCTTAATTTAATGAACATTTACAAGAGTTTTTTGGGTTAGTATTCAATAACTTTCGGGTTTTTAATAAAAAAATATATGCGCTTTAGCAAGGCGAGTAGCAGCAGCATATAAAGTTAGGAAATTGCCTCAATTTTTTACTGTTCCAGAATATTTTGGGGAAAAAATATTTCACAGAAAATACATAGGCCAAAGCGCCATTGAATTTTGAAGGATTTAAGATTTTGAAATTATTATCATTATTCCAAATTTGTTTGATAATAAATATTTTGTAAGCCTTATGTATGTTAGTAGATTTCAATCTTTTTGAAAAGGTTTAGTTTTGAAAAGCTTTTTATTTTGTCCAAATATGATTCAATTTTTTTCAAATCAAGCTTTAGCTTATTTAAAAATAATGAAGCCATAAAATCATGGTTTATTGCGCAGCTCCTGATGACCTTCTGACAAGCCCTTTTCTTTAATACACCAGGTGCTGAAAGTCAAATATACATGCTACATTCCCATTATACGAAAGGTCTTACAGGGATTTGGACCTATCGAGTTTATGCTCCCAAATACGGAACCACATAGGGGAGAGCGACAATTCCTGGGACCGGTCTTGGAAGAGATTGTGAGAAGAATTTATTTCTAAGCTGCATCAATTGACTCTCTGAAGTGGACAAAACAGGAAATTTCCAACAATTCCGTTGGAAAATTGTTCCCGGCACTAGGTAGAAAATATCTGATTTTTCGAATTGTATTCAACCTATGTCAGGTCAGAAAAAAAATGGACCATTTCAAATCACTGCTAAAAGTCCAAGCTTCATAAAAGCTCCAAAATTCGAAAAGTGATATTAAAACCAAATAGCAAAGTAAGGAGGGAATATAAGATATTGCACTTATATTTTACTGTAAAGTTTTCATAAATCAGGAACCCTTTCGACTGAAGTGAACGAATCCTTTAAGATGTAGGGATACATAATTGGACTATGAAAAAATCATTTTAATTATGATATGTATATTTTTCAATATATCCGATCTCAGACTGCTTACAGGGTGAGATGAAAAAACTGCAGCCAACTTCAGACTGCTGTCATTTCTAAGCCACTAGTCCCACAGCTTTTAAAATTATTCCAGTAACAAGCGTACAAAAGCATTTTGGTGAGAATTTTCCAGATAAAAAGTTATTCCTGATGAAATTCAAGCGCGATAGTGTGATTTCTTTATGTTTGGTTGGAAAACCACAAGTGGCTATCGTTAGAACACTCCAGCATTTAAATGTGAATAAATCTTTTTTGTCTCGTACCATCCCAGCAACTTCAGAAGAAATGGTTCGAAAAGTAAAGAAGCGACTTGATCGGAAAACGCGTCGCAGTGGCCGAAAAATGGCTCGTGAGCTGAACATATCTCAATATTCCATTCGGCAAATATTGAAAAATGAACTCGGGGTAAAGCCATCGAAATTCCAAAAAGTGCAAGAACTTACACCGCAACTGAAAGAAAATAGACCCAAAAGAGCTAAAGAGTTGCTTCGCTTGGCCGATAGTGGTGAACTGCCGAATTTGGTTTTCTCCGATGAGAAAACATTCGTTGTCCAGCAGTTTGTAAACAAACAAAATGATCGTGTTTACTTGCCAAAGAGGTCAGCTGAAAATGTGCACTTTCGGTGGGCCACCAGAACTTAAGCGCCTTCCATGGTGATGGTGTGGGCTGCCATAACAGCCGATGGTCGCTCTCCGCTCATATTAATCGACTGTGGTATCAGAATAAATGCCTAATATTATGGCGAAAATATTCTGGAGGGGCTTTAATACACGATATACTAAAACGTGGACCCCTATGATCTTCTATTATCTTTATTCAAAGATCCAAAGATGTGGTTGGACAAACCCCCTCTATGACACAGTTGAGGGTATTCAAGTAAGGGGTCTTCAATCCAACTTTTTGTTTTTAATTAGGGTTGGTAACACATAGTTCATGTCTGAATTTTAAAATAATTAGATTTATGCTTCCGCTGCTTAAATATAGCTGTGAAATGTTTCGACATTACTTTGGAGATCATGGTTGCAGAGTGTGTGATTTAGGAAGAATAGCTCCGTATGTAAACAAGCAAAATTGTCGAATTTGGGGTACAGAAAAATCGCACGCTGATGCACCCTAACACGATCCTTTTTGGTACTGATTTTAGTCTAGAGGCATAATTGATCCATTTATCCTCGAAAATGAGCAAGGATTGCATGTTACGTTATCCAGTCATATTAGACAAGTCTTTGTTGACAAAAACTGAAGAGGAGGATATTGTCAAGATTTACTTTCAACGGTATGGCGGAACGTACAACACAGCCGAAACTACAATCGATTAAAAACAAATATTGGCAGACCCGAATCAGACTATAGAAAAATTCTTCGACTCAGACTGCCGGTCCGACTCGAAAATTCTGGTTGACTTCATATGGTCGAACTCGTCCGTCTACAGGCTTTGTTTAATTGTCTCTTCTACTTGTTACCAACCCGAAATACAAAAGTGTAGCCAATTCGGTCGGAGAATGTGATCGGGACTACCAAATAGAAAATATCAACCTAACCAATTTATGAAGGCTATTCTAGTACTATGTTGGATTTTTTTTAAGAGGTTTTTGTGTACTATATATGGCTTATAAACAATTTTTGCTAGGAGAATTTACATCCAGTAGATGTTCGCTGCATCATACTGTCCCAAATCGGGACATAACCTTATATGGGGCTCGTTTAAATAAGGGACCTTTGTTATTAGAACTTGTATGCGGCGAAGAAAAAATGTTAGCGCATAGCGGATAGCATTTTTTTTGTATTCTCTATCAATTGAATATTTTTTGATTTAAACTCTCGTAAATGTAATCATTAACAGAATATTTCGCAAAAAGCTAATCAACTTTTCAAAATTGGAATATAATGATTATATGTTGAGTAATATATTAGAATATTTAAGGATTAACAATATTAAAACATTAATAAAAATATGAACTTTGGTTTAAGAGAGTAATAAGTACCTCTTTCCAATTCTGCTATAATTTATGAATTTCATTTTACATTTTTTTTTGTTTTTTAATTTTGGTTAGTTTTTTGTTGAACATATAACAACAATTGTGATGACCGAGAGTTTTTGAAACAATTGTTTTATTTTTTGTTTTCGATTACGATAAAGTGAAAAGAAGTTGAAAATAAACAATTAACATATATCAAATTTGTATGGCTTAAGATAAACATAATTTTTTTCTGTTTTTGATTTGAATAATTTGTTACAAATAAATAAAGCTTTTTTCTTAAATATATTAGAAAACAATTCGTATTGGTGCAGTTTAAGCAATTCATATTGTTTGTTAATTTTTGTTGGTTTTTCATTACGAAAGTGAGCTTTTTCATGTTAATAAGGAAAATCACTCTAAGTTTTTTTTTTTTTTTTGTTTTTTGGTTGAAAACAACATTGGTGCCAATAAAAACCGCTAGGTATAATTTTTTTCCTAATTTTATAATATCGAGTTTTTACAAATACTACCAGATAGTTTTGTTTTGTAATAATCTAAAGAAAATATTTACAATAAGAAAATAAAAAAGTAGTTTTTTTCCTTAAGCATAGCTTGAAAAGATAATTTATAATAATTTTCCTGAGATATACGATGAAAATAAATACGTAATTTTTGTAATAACCTCAAAACTTAATTTAGTTTTTCAACTTAAAGCTAATATTTTTGGAAAACTAGAAATTCTTATCAATAAAACCTGTTTTATTCAATTGATTTTTTTTCATTCATATTTGATTGAAACATAATATTAATTTTATTCCTATCCTTATTTTTTAATTTATTTTATAATTTATAAAATAATTTCAATTGCATACAAAGATCATGAAAAAACTTACCGGCATTCCTCCTTGACCGCCGCCGCCATCTCGCCTGGAGTTGTATGCGTCCAGCAATAAGAATCCTGTATAGATTTTACCCACTGTCATTTTGCCCTTGTTCAATTGATCGTTGGGCGGCACCAGCAGATCTAGCATTTTTTTGGCTTGCAATGGCCAGATTTTTTCTATTGTTTCCCTAAGTTCTGAATCGGCTTGATCCATTTCTTCAGCTATAAAATTGTAAAAAATAAAAATTGTAAAAATGAAAATATTATATCACATTGAAATAGTTTAAAACCACATTTTGTAAATTAATTAGTAGAGGTCGAACACTACTCTGAAATAGGTTATTGGCGTATATTAAATGAATTTACCCTACACCACTATAAAACACTTGAAATCGGGGTTTACTCTTATATAGGAGCATTTTGTGTATAAAGGTTATATGATAGTTTTAAAGAAAACAATACAGGGTCGAAATTTTGGTCGAAAATGTTATCCTTCAAACGAGTCACCCAAGTTGTTTTTCCTTTTTTGATATATAGCTTAAAACTTCATTAAATGCGATCGTAGCAAATTGTAAACAATCGCTGGATTGTTTCACAAGTAATGTCATATATAAGTATTGGAAATTGCGCCTCTTTGTGGGTGAGGTACCAGAAGGGGTTGGATGTGTGAAATTTGAAGAGAGTTAGATGCTTATTCCGCTATTTAGGAGCGTTTTGTTTTTCAAAATCTTGAACCATATGTGGGGGAGGTATCATAAGAAAAGGTACGATCTCTACCATTTTTATAAAAAATCTTGTATTGATGCAAATATTGAGATGTACCAATTCAGAATCAAATTGTAATTTCGCGTTTTTTTTAGCTTCATGGATACTCAAAATTTTGAAACTTTTCGGGCGAGAAACCAGAAGGAGTAGACCGAAATATTCCATCTTAACACCACATCTTGGGTTTATAAAAATATTGGGATGTGTGAAATGTTAAGACATTCGGATTCTTACATCACATTTTTTAAGAGTTATAATTATTCAAAATTGTTATCCTTTGTGGGGGAGGCACTTGATGGAGGGGGCCGATATTATTCATTTTTGCACCTGACCTGACCTAGATTGCAAATCCTAATATATGCGTCAGATATATTAGGATTTGCAATCTTGGAAAAAAATCGGAATATTGCTTCTCTTTCTGTGCAGAAAATATTTATTTATTTATTTATTTTTTTTTTTTGAAAATTTCGACTTTTTGTGGGGGAGGTTCCAGAAGGAGCGGACCGATATATTCCATCTTAACACCAGACCTTGGGGTAATAAAATTTTTGGGAGGTATGAAATTTTAAGACAATCGGACTCTTACATCACAGTCCATAAGAGTTGTAAATTTTCAAAATGTTAGCCCTTTGTTGGTGAGGTCCTTGATGTAGTGGGCCTGACGTAGCATTGACGCCAATATTAGGATTTGCAGAGTTGGAGCAAAATCGTAGCATCGTTTCTCTTTCTGTGCAAAAAAAATATTTTTTTTTTTTTTTTTTTTGAAAATTTCGACCTTTTGTGGGGGAGCTACCAAAAGGAGCAGACCGATATTGTCCATCTTAATATTTACAGACTCTTACAATACATTTTATAAGAGCTGTAATTAATCAAAATTTTGACTCTTTGTGGGGGAGGTACTTGATGGCGTGGACCGATATTTTCCATTTTTGCACAAGACGTAGCACTGACGCAAATATTAGGATTTGCAAAGTTGGAGTAAAATCGGATAATCCATTCATTTTCTGTTCAAAAAGCTATTTTCCTTGAAAATGTGGGGGAGGTACAAGAAGGAGTGGACCTATATTGCCCATCTCCGAACTCGATCTAAGTTTGACGTTAATGTTACGACGCACCAAGTTTGGATCAAATCGGTTACTCTCTTCGATAGTTATCGTGTTCACCAGCCAGCCAGCCAGACGGACGGGCGGACATCGCTATATCGACTTCAAATGTCCTGAAACGGATTTGGTCTACGTTTTGGCGTATCAAATGATATATGCCCTCTGTAACCATATGACTGAGGGTATAATGATGCTTTGTAGAAGTATTTTGCATTAACTCATATGAAGTACGAATTAAACACTAAAATGTGTTTTGAATATATGTGAAGTTCTGGCGGTTAAATAAGATATTTAGAATTTTTATGTATTTTTATAACAAATGTTGAATATTCTGACTTGCTACGATCTGGTTAAAAAAGTTTTAATGCATTTCTGAAATAGAGATTTTAAAGTACCGCTTCGTTGACACTCATGTTTGTTTATATTTTTTAACCAATATAATACTCGTATTGTTATCAGCTATATAGTCCAAGAACCTACACCCCATAAATTTAAGAATTTGAAGAAATCTTAATTAGAAGGGATAACATTTTTTTGAAGAGTTTGGAACTTGCTCCCTCCACTTTCGTTATTATACAAAACGCCAGTACTCGTGTCCTCTATTTTTATATCCCCCACCATACTATTTGTGGATTCTCGAAGTAAGCCTTTAGACCCCACATGGTATATATACTTGATCGGCATAAGATTCGATGTCGAATTATCCATATCTGTCCATCCATCTGTCTGGGGAAATTACTTCAGTTTCCGAAAGGAATGAAGTAAGTGGAAAAACCCCTTTCAAATGTATTTTAGGTCCCTGTCGCTATTGAAAATAGGTCATATAGGTCCGCGTTTTAGTAGAAATTTCTATTATTCCAAGTTGGTATTTGAGGTTTGAGGTACTTAGGTAGTTTTCTACCTATGAGAATCCATATTTTCCCCCATATGTATAATTATAACATCGAATATTTTGTATTTTGTCGATTTTAGCCTCATGGAAATACATGTCCACGACATCGTTTCCTGCCGATATTCGGCATTTTGATAATTGAAGCCAAATTTTTCGTTGGAATTGTCTGAAAATCCACATAAGGAGTTCCCTCTGAGTACTTTACCTCCTGGAAGAGGATTGTCTATATAGGTTCACAATTTAGTATAGCACCTATATAACGGTGAACCATGATTTTTGACACATCATTCACCCCAATTATTTCAAATTTCATATTCGAAGTTTATAATGGATACTGCAGCCTATGCCTAAAAATTTCGTATGCAGGTCCACGTCTTCGAATAGCCCCCCTATAGCAGTACCTCCCAATATTCCGTATTTTGTTGATTTTAGCGACATTTTGTTGATTTTAGCGACACAGGTCTTCGTAGAGCCCCGACATAAACGAATTTTCAACGGATTTTTTTAATTTTTTAACGGATTTTATTTTTTTTTTTGAAAATTTCCAAATTAGTTCCAAATATTGGGGTTATTCAAAGTTCCGCCTGGCCGAACTTACTGCTTTTTTACTTGTTTCAATTCATTGATACTTTATTCTATAGTGGTGTAGGGATACTAAAGTGTATTTTTTTAAAGAATATTAAATAATCTCTCTTTTTTGTACTTACCCGGTCTCATTTTTATACTAAGATTTTCTCGTATCAATGCAAATAACGTGGTCGTAAACTGTACTCTCATCTCGTCGTCCAGGGGCATATTCATACGTATTAGTTTCTTGAAGGCGAGGCGATTGGGACATTTGTTACCGAACCCCAATGGAGGATCCATATTTTTCAACATGTCATACATTTCCGTATAGAGTATGCGACCACTTTATACAGACAGTAATGAACAAAAACGATTTCGAAGGCGATCGGTAGAGAGAACCCCCACAGATACAACGAGACATATACCGCGACATAAAAGGAATTTGAAGATAAAAGGATTTTTGAAATTAATTTTGAGTGGAAAATTTTGAAAGCAAGCTTATTTAAATCTCTTGTTGTTTTTGTTTTTTTTTAGCAATAGTAGCAATATACAAAAAGACATACAGACACACACACATATATATTACACATATAGTACGTAAGTAACAACATTGAGATTTTAAAAAAAGTTGTTGATAGGAAAAGTTTACGGACTAACAGATTAAATTGAAAATACGATTTTTTTTTAAATAAATTAGGAAGTTTTAAGTTAGAAAAAAATCAGTTTAGTGTTATGTTGAGTTAAGAGTGGTTTTGTCTGGTTTTTTTAGCTTAAATATTTTTTTGGTATTTTTTTAGGAAAGCTTGAAGCCTTGTTTAGTGCTTAAGATAAATTGCATAGCTTAAATAGTTGTGGCTTCTTATTTGGGGGGAGATATTTGAAGCGTTTTTTTTCTCTGGTTTTTGATAAGAAGCTATATATTTTCTTAAATTGCTAAAGAAATTAGGAAATCTGTTTGAGGAAATCTAGCTGTTTTGTACTATAGAGGAAGTTATCATCTAATAGTTTGGAAGTAAAAAGGTAAGCTTAATATTTTGCAATTTTTTTTGTTAAGAATTAAAATTTTTTGTTACCTTTTTGTTATTGAAGTTAAGTGTTTTGTTAACGTAGTTAAGTTATTTTGGATTGTTTTTAGTTTTTTTTTTATAGATATGTGTTTTTCAAAATTGCAATTGCGCATATGAAACAAATACGATCAAATAATAATCATTTAATATAGACGCTTTAAGCTTTTTAGAGTTTTTTGCATTTGGGTGTATTGCAAAAATTATTGTTTTTGTTTTGTTTTTAAATTTTGTGTTAAATAACGAAACTTAAAAAACTTAACAAGGCAAAACTCAAAAATTCAGCCGAGCCTGGCTGTGGGATTTGAACCGCGGACCTCGGTGTGCAGCCAACTAGAAGTTGCCGTCTCTACGTTCAGAGCCATTAACCCGTCTTCCTAAAGCAGCACTAAAACAAGTGTATGCATTGGAAGCAATGTAGTTGTTGTGGACAAAAAATCCATCACTACAAAAACAAAACTTTGCTGTGAAAAAGATCTGCCAATAGAACTTGAGTCGAACCTGGAGAGTTTCTAGTGTATAATTCGCATATGCTAATTTGCAATAAGTTCGAAATATATACTACTTTCCAGAGAACGGCCCTTGTAAGCCATCATCCACACCAAATATGCCTGATGAGCCGATTAACCAACGGCGAAACGCGTCGCATAGTGGTGAGTGTGTGATAGTGTCTATCTGGCTTTCCTTTTCACTGCAAATTTCAGATCATTAAGCTCGTCTCGAAAGAGAAAACAAACACATAAATGTGAGTTTTGGTTTTTTTTTTTTGTTAAAAAGCTTAAGTAACAATATTTCTTGAACAACAAGGACAGAAACAGAAAGGAAAATAAAAAACCATAATCACAGATTACTAATGAACAGAAATGATAAGAAAATGAATGTTACATTATTTTTTTTAAATAAATTATTGTACAACAATCTACTTGTAATTACACCAATTATTTATAAGAATTAAAAAGAAAATAATATGGAGAAAATATTCAAATATTTCCTAGACATTTTTATGGAGCAAATTGAAAGCATAATGGCATATAAATATTGTCTTATTAAATATTTCAAAATTTTATATTCATTATTTTGAAATTGAATATATTAAATTCACAATACAACCTGGTTTCCTCTATTATTTTTAAATAATCTAGATAAATACGACGTTATTATTTCCATACAAGTCGTATCCAAAATCGACAATATAACCACTAAAATATCATCTAATATGCCTGATAAGGCGCATAACCAATGGCAATAAGCATGACATACTGGCTGGACTTCACAGAATTTCGATGATGTTAGTCCGAATGTGGGAAAGCTAATTTGCCATATAATGATTATTCGGACAGTTTGGTCTTCAAGTATTATTTTGAACGTGTTGAGACGGAAAGTTCCCTCAACACTATACCATTGGAAGGTATTGAGATCTCTTTATTGTCAACATAACAAAGACTAATGCTATGGCGTTTATAAGCGCAGTTGAGTAGACCAACCTGGACTTTGAGGAGGTTATTCTTATTTTTTAAAACCTCCCTTCCACCAGTACAGTTGAATAGACCAACCAGCACTTTGAGGAGGTCATTTACATTTTTTAAAATCGAATATCCATTTAGACCCAACAAAGGACATATATTCTCGATCACGATTCTATGTCGATTTAGTCATGTCTGTCCGTATGTCTATCTGTCCGCCTATGGATGTAACTCTAGCTTCCGAACGTAGGTTGATTCAATTCTACTCATATGTATTATGGGTCTGTCAGTTTATTGGTATTGGAAACGGGCCATATAGGTTAACGTTTTTATATATCATCTATATTTTGTCACAATCGAAAACCGAATCTTCCGTATAGAACTGTACATATAGCTCCAAGTTTTAGTATAGATCCCATATAACTACACCTCCAGATATTTGTTATTTTGATGACTTGTGTCATCGGAATTGCTTCAAATTTAATATTTGGAGTTTTTAATGGGTACTTTTTCATATAACAGAATTACCCATACAGGTCAACGTCTTCTACGGAATTATTTCAAATTTGTTTTTTTATGTTCGTAATGGGTACCACTTCCTATGACAGGAAATTATCTATACAAGTCAACATCATCGTATGTCCCCAATATAATGGAATCTTCCGTCATTCGGTATTTTGCCGATTTTAGCCAAAATTTTCAACGGATTTATCAAAATTATTATTTTCGGTTCGCAATAGGTATTGCCTTTTCCTGGCATAATTATATCACCAAAAACTAATTATTATTAAAATTGTTGTCGCATTTTTAAATGGATTTTTTTGAAAATTTGCAATTTTCTTCTAAATGGTGGTGGACATTAAAAGACAGGCCTTTGAAATCCATGGACTTGGACCGTATGTTGAAAATCCACGATTGATACATATTTAGAGAGTCCTTTAATAATACACAGGCATCAGTGGTCTTTTTATGATTCACTTCCCAAAACAGTCCTTCGAAAACCCAAAGCCACGATGCTGACTTTGTAAGATTTTCAAAGTACCAAAAAACTTTCTCTAGATTCCTTAAAAGTCAACTATACTGAATTTAACAATTTTCAAAAAGGAAAGATAGTCTTTCGAAACTTCTGCCACTGACTTGGATGTTCCCAGTTACTGATTTTTAAAAAATTCTATGAACGCTAATATATTAAATTTGAAATTTTTAGGAAAGCGCACGGATTTAAAACACATTCCAGTATCCACGGACTTTTAGAGTTCTTCAAAATTCCGCTAAATTTGAATGTTTAAATAAAACCGATCCTAGATAGTCCTTTGAAATTTTTGGATTTTAACCGTCTTTTCAAAAACTTGTAATTGACTTTATTAATCCTGCAAAATACGCTATGGGATTTTGACAGTTTTTTTTTTTAAAAAAACTACTGGCTCCAGTGATTTTTGAATAATTAGCTGTATTTAACCGTCCTTCAGAAACCCACAGTCTTTAACAGTCCTTCCAAAATAAACGGATTATGATATCCACGACTTTGGTAGTCCAGAATCCACAAACTTTGATAAACCTTTAAAAGTCCCCAAAAATATATTTCATAATACAAAAACTAAGGATACTGAGTTTTCACAATATTCCAAGTCAAAAATGCTGGTACTGATTTTAATAATCTTATAAGAATTCACAGAATTTCAAGTGCTTACGAAAAAATTCTATAAATTCGGCTGACTTCAATAGTCCTTTCATGTCCTACATTCATTGGTTTGCGGATTAAAAATATTCGCCATTTTGCTATACTACATGGACTTTTGAAACCAAATAATTGCAAATTTCACATAAAATCGAGATGGTTCTTAAAACTCTTCCATAATTTTATTAAATTTTAAAAAGGCCGAAAACACATTCGTTTCTTTTCGCCCAGATTTTAAACTTCGCTTTTTAAAAAACCTAATATGCTGCCGAAGCTCACAAGGAATGACTTACAATGCTGCAAAAATCCAACTAAGTTATTTAAAAATCACAGACTTTGAGAGTCCTTCCACGATGATCCAAAAATTCTCTCAAACTTGGCAGACTTTGTCTTTGCATAACCTTTCGATTGCAATTTAAAATTCCCAATTTATTTAAAAAGTCAAATATTTTTAAAATATTAAATATTCTGGCTGTACTGTGACAAGAACGAAACAATCTTACAAAAGTCGCGATTTAAAAGTTGACACCAAATTGAGACAATGTCCCTGAATTCCTTTCATAAATCCACCAAAGTTCTAAAAAATCCAAGAGAATAATCCAAACTATTCCACTGGATTTTTACATCTGAAACTTCTAGAAAAATTTAACATTGAGTACAAAATTTCTAAAACTTCCTTTTAAATTTAATCCACGAAGAATAATTTTCAATATTGTAAAAATCCCACGAATTTGCCAATACTTGCAGATTAATTATACTGATATGCATGAAAGTCTATATTTTTTTAATTTCTTCTTTTTCAATCCAAGTAGACGAGTAGAAAACATTTTCTGCTGTATTTTCTAATTCAAAATAACATGATATTTTTTCTGAATATTTTCTCTATTTTGGGTGGATACAAAGATTTGACGGCTAACGACTAGTAAATGCTCTCACCTATGTTGACTATGCTTAATATTCACTAAAATAACAATTTGGATTAATTTTTTTCAATTTTTAAAAATAATTTAACTTGAAACTCTGCATAAATTCGGAACTGCAAAAATTCAACAAACTTCCCAACATATGCGGATTATATTCTCGTAATTTGTATAAAGGTCTATTTTTTAATATTCTTAAGTTAAGCTGGAGAGTTCTTTTTAATACTATATTCCGATATTATTTTAATTTAGGCGAATAAAAATAATTAATTGCTGGATATTCTGATTCAAAATGTCTAAATATTTTTTCTGGATATTTTCTCCATTTGGGTGGATACGAGGATTTGACTGCTAATAGCTTTAGAGTGATACCATTTTGGAGGTATCTTCCTTAATTTGTTTAAAAAAGAAATATCATCAAAACGTTGCTGTGAAAAAGATCTGCCAATAGAACTTGAGTCGAACCTGGAGAGTTGCTAGTGTATAATTCGCATATGCTAATTTGCAATAAGTTCGAAATATATACTACTTTCCAGAGAACGGCCCTTGTAAGCCATCATCCACATCAAATATGCCTGATGAGCCGCTTAACCAACGGCGAAACGCGTCGCATAGTGGTGAGTGTGTGATAGTGTCTATCTGGCTTTCCTTTTCACTGCAAATTTCAGATCATTAAGCTCGTCTCGAAAGAGAAAACAAACATTGAAATATCATTTAATTTTTATAATTTATAAATTTAGTTTCAAGTCTCCGCATCCACCTTAAATATACACAAAACAAAAGAATTAAAAATTTTTTCGACGACAAAACATAACATTGGCAAATTATAACAACATACACACATATATATATATTAGTGAATAATTGCACATGAAAATTAAAAAAAAAACTGCGTGACAATGAACAAAACATAAAAAATAAAATAAAAAAATATGTATAACAACAATTCGAACAATGATTAACAAATATTTTTTACGAATAATTAATTAATTAATTAGGTAATTATATTAAATTGATAATTACGTCGCATTTGGATCATATTCAGCCCATATCCGAACAAATTCATCTAAATGATGGGCACCCAATATACTGGAATCTCTTGTCAGATAATCGAAATTATCCATAATGACGGCAACGAACAAATTCAACATTAGAAACGAACAGAAGAATATAAACGATACAAAATAGGCATAGGCCAATGTGGAACCACAGGTTTCGTCACCCTTTTCGGCTTCTTCATCGCATGGCCTCCCCTTAAGGCACGCCAGCATAATGTTCGGCCACGCCTCGCCCGTTGCACATCTAAAATGACATGGTATTAGTATGATCTCATAAAAACAAAATATATAAATATTTCGAAAAAAAATGTATTTTGTAAATTTCACAAAAGTATGTCTATGTGTTAAGGTTAATTTAAATATAGATTTTCTGTTTGTAAATAGTGTTAACAAAGGATTTTATGTCAAAAGTTACAAATAAAAATGAAATTGTTTTTTTTTTGAAATACTAGAGTAGAATTTAAAAACGAATGTATGTTCAACTCTAAGGAACGGGATAAAACAAATGTGTGTTTGTGTTTTTTCAAATAGTGTTTTTGGCGTTTGTGTTCCATTTTGTTGTTGTGTGTTTGTTTTTTTATATTTTGTTAAATTTTCCTTTTTTTTCTTGTTTGAGAAAATCAACAAAATATTTGTTAGTTGTGAAAGTGTTTGCTTTTTTTCATTTATACTACTCAATTTTTTTATATTACTATATACTATAAATTGTTGTTTGTATTTGTTTTTATTATTTATTAATATTAATGTTATTATTATTACTTTGTTATAATAAAAATTGTTAAATATTTTCAAAACTCAAATTATCTACTTGAAAAATATTTAATTATATTTACACACTAACATTAATTAGTACTTGTTTTTGGTTTTTTGATATTTTATTAAAAATTTTGAATTTATTTTTTTGAATAGGTTGTGGTAAACTATAACTCAAACGGGGGCGGGTGGGAGAAAGGTAATTTGAAACAAAATATATGTAATAGCCTAATTTGTTAGAAGAACCTAAGAAATGCATGGTTTTTCGTTATGCTCTAAAAAACTAATTTGCCAATTCTAATTTGAATATTTTCTAATGATGGTGTTTGCCAATTTGTAATAAATTTTGTGATCTATAATATTTGGTTGCAGTAAAATATTTTATTATTATTTTTTTATAAATTGAACTTACCCGTAATGAGGTTTGAGGATATTTTGTAAAAATTGTGTTTTAAAGAAAATTAAAATTAATATATCAACAAAGGATGCGTCATGTAAGTAAACGCCACGACATTGATATACATACTTTGATAGACTTTCATAAATCGATATTTGTTTAACTAGGCCATAAAAACCGAAAAACATCGACTTTGACAGGTCTCCGAAAATTTTGGTCAATGGGTTTACAGTCCTTCAACTACTAGCGATAAAAGCTTTTCTCTCAAACGTTCACGATAATAGTCATTAAAAAATCCACATTATCGACATCTACATGGTGTAGGAACCTTAAATTGTTCTTTTATTTGGAAAAAATCCATATTGTTTTAAATGTATTTAATATCAGTAGAAAATATTAAAAACCGTAAGTTGTTTTCAAATTTCCATGCAGCGAATCTAAGCTTATTCCGTAATCGATTTAAATAAAATAAACAATAAAGTCGAACCTGACTCCTAGTCCATTTTTTAATTCGCTTTCACTTATTTTATGTACGGTCCATTTGCGGCACAAGAATGTCGTTCTGTCGACACTTAGTACGATTTAAAGTCCTGACTGACCGAGTATTCACATGAATTTTTAAGTTCTCTTTTCTTTTCAAAAACATAACACCCTGCAAAAATCCACAAGGTATAACATTCGATACTGCAAATATCCAGCTAATTTCAGATTATAAATGGAAATTCTCCTGAATTTTATAAACGTCTAATTTTTATTAAATTCTGAAATTTTCTCAAGTAAGGTGGATGAGTAGAGATGGAGAGTGAGAAAGATTTTTTTTATTCATTCGAACACAAATAATTCACTAATGGATATTCTGTATCAAAATAATTTTATAATTTTTTTTCTGAATATTTTCTCCATTTGGTTGAAAACAAAGATTTGAATGCCAATGACTCAAGAATCAGGGTGGTCTCTTTATTAAATTCATGAAAATTTAATATTGTAAGTCGATTTTGCGATGTCTGTCTGTGCGTCTTTTTCGTCTGTCTGTTGTAATCAAGCTGCCTTTGGAAAGAACTGAGGTAGAAGGCAAATATTTTCAACTCGTGTATATTTTACCAATAGGCAGACAAATTCGTAGATGGGCCATGTCGGTTCAGGATGATGATTTTAACGGCATTATTCACCGGAATAGTTTAAAAATTCATTTTTAAGGTTCGGAATCGGTGTTACAGCCTATGGTAAAAAATTACTCATGACGGACCACGTCTTCGGGTCAGATTTTCAACTGATTTCGGGTTAATTGTGCACCAAATGGCCAATATAAGTCCAAATAACTTGAATTTTGGCAAACTTTCTACAAATCTTCGGTTTGGCCCAAGAAAAACCCATATTGATATTGGTGAGAATCGGTCCAAAAATAGATATAGCTCCCACAAATATCTTCCTTTGACTTCAATCTTATTGGGCGCCATATGTGTAATATTCGTCCAAATAAGATGTATTTCGGAATATTTGACCTAATTCAGTCTAGATTCAATTACATCAAATTTGGAGAAAATCGTTTCAGATATAGCAATAGCTTCCATATATATGTTTTATCCGATTTGGGGTTTTAACACATGATTAATATGCACTCCACAAGAATGATATTTGATACCCGACATCAGATACTGCTCTGAAATAAGTGTATCAAATTTTGTCAAGATCGGTTCAGATTTGGTATAGCTCACACATATATCTTCAATCGATTTCGGGTTAATTGTGCACCACATATTTAATATCAGTCCAAATGACCTGAATTTTGGCATATCGGACCGAATTCAGTCTAGAAGCAAGTACATTAAATTTGGTGAAAATCGGTTCAGTTATATAGAATAGCTCTTGTTCATATTTTTCATCCGATTTGGTGTTTAAGTCCCTCTTATTCGCAATATGCATTCGACAGCAATGGTGTTTGAAACCAAATATCAGATACAGCTCAGAAATACCTCTGTCAAATTGTATCAAGATCGGTTCAGATTTGGATATAGCTCCCATATATATCTTCAACCGATTTCGGGTTAGTTGTGCACCAAATGGCCAATATCTGTCAAAAAATCCTGAATTTTCGCACATCCATCAGAATTTAGTCTGGAAGCAAGTACATCAAATTTGAAATCGGTTCAGATATAGCTATAACTCCCACATGTATATTTCGTCCGATTTGGTGTTTAAGTCCCTCTCGTTCGTAATATGGATTAGAGAACAATGATATTTGGTCTTATAGAGATCGGAAATACTTTTCTAAATTATACTGAGATCGGTTAAGATTTGCATATAGTCCCCATATATATCCTTAATCCGATTTCAGGTTAATTGTGCAAATGATGGCTAATATCAGCCCAAGTGGAGTGAATTTCGGGACGTACGTTTCCATTTTGTGGTATTCGGCTCCGATATATGTTTTTATACCCTACAACACTATGTGTAGGGGGTATTATAAGTTTGATTAGGCCAAAAATTATGTAACACCTCGAAATATTGGTCTCCAACATAGGCAAGTATATATGGATCTAGCTATGAATGGCCGTCCGTCCGTCTCTTCATATTAATTTGTAATGAAACTTCAGGTCGAAATTATGGCCAGATCCTCACGAAATTATTATATAGCTTTTGGAGGTGATGGCATAATATTTAGGGGTTGAAATGGACCAACGACTAAAAATGGACCAACAATATAGAATATCGTAGATAATCAAAGTATATAGATGTGTCTAAATTGGTGATCGCAAATTATTTAGGGGTTCAAATGAACCAAAAACAGAAAAATGCTTGTGATCCAAATGGTCCTGAAACCTGACCATTGGATTATATTTAGCTGGATTTGGGCATAAGGGCCCTTCTGACAAATTGTAGTATTGTAGGGTATCACATGGTCGGCCCCGCACGACTATAGCCTTTGCTAACTTGTTTTTATACCCTCCACCATAGTTAGGAGGGTATATTACGCTTGTAACACCTCGAAATATACATTTTAGACCCCACCAAGTATATATATTCTTGATCAGCATAAAATTCAATGTCGATTTAGCGATGTCCGTCCATCTGTGGAAATTATTCTTCCTTCCGAACAAAATCAAGTAGGTTGATGAAATTTTACTCAAATGTGTATTATGTCTGCAGGAATTTTGGTATTGAAAATGGGTCACTTAGGTCCACATTTTGGTATAGCCCCCATATAATGAAACCTCCCTTTTTCGGTATTTTAATGATTTAAGCGACATTATTCACCGGAATTGTTTCAAATTGGATATTAGAAGTTTGTAATGGATACTACAGCCTAAGGTACCTCCCTATATTAGGTATTTTGATTATGTTAGCGACCTTCTTTACCGGAATTATTTCAAATTTCGCAATTGAAGTTTGTTAAGGGTGCTACAGTTTATGACAAAATTTTTGTATTCAGACCCACGTCTTTGTTAAGCCCCCATATAACGGTACCTCGCGATATTCGGTATTATGATGATGTTAGCGACCTTATTTACCGGAATTATTTCAAATTTCGCATTTGAAGTTCGTAAAGGGTGCTACAGCCTATATCAAAAAATTTCTTAAGCAGGTCCACGCCTTGTATATCCCCCATATAACGGTACCTCCCGATATTCTGTATTTTCATGATTTTAGCGACCTTATTTACCGGAATTATTTCAAATTTGCTATTTGAAGTTCGTAATGGGTGCTACAGCTTTTTTGTATTCAGGCCCACGTCTTCGCATAGCCCCCATATGACGGTACCTCCCGATACTCGGTATTTTTATGATTTCTGGGACATTATTGACAGGAATTGTTTCAAATTTCGTATTGGGGGATCTTAATGGTTACTACAACCTATGGAAATAACTTTCGTATGAAGGTACACGTCTTCGTATAGCCGTCATATGACGGTACCTCTTCGTATAGTCTCTATATAGCAGTTTTCATTTAAGTGGTAGTTTCCGGATTTTTTTTTTAAATTTTTTATGTTCCTTCCAAATTAATGTTCGGTCCGACCGAAGTTAGATGCTTTTTACTTTTTTTAATTATTAAAAATTTGTAGCATTATTAACATTAACTAAATACATATATGTATATATGTTTTTAACAACTATGTCAGCTACAAATAAAATTATAAATTTAAAAATATATGTAATTGGTTTTTATAAAATATTTTACTGCAACACTTGGTTTTCTACGAAATTGGGATTATGAAAACAAAATGAGTACTTTTAAATTGATATAACAAAAAAGGATAATGTAAATGAAACAAAAAAAAATTAATCAGCTTTTTATTCGCAACTATTAACAAATTGTATGTGCAAATTCTTAGCGTTTTTCTTTTTTTTTTTTGTATTTTTTGTTTGTTGTTTGTTTCCATAAGAATAATAATAATAATATTTAATATTATAAACCATATTTAAAACACAAGTTGTAACTTATTGAACAATGCAAGCTTTATCAACGAATAAACTCAACATAGTCTTCTGTTCCAGAATGACAAATCAACTAGGAAGAATGAAAACCATAACCATAATTATGAATATGCGGCGATTTAAGGTGTGAGTTTAGTATTCATTGTGTGTGGGTTCATTGTAGAGTTTTCATTTGAAAATTTGCTAACAAAAATACACAACAATTTTTGAAACATAAGTCAGAGAGAAGAAACAAGAACAAAGAGAATTTTTTAACAAAATTATAAAATGAAAACTGAAAAATCATAAAGAAAATGAAAACTATTCACAAAGAACTATTTTCTTTGAAAATAAATTTTGTATTTTTCGAAAAGAGAAAAATTGAAACAAATAACGGACATTTATTTATGTAACGAAACCAACTAGTGATATATATATGAACCGGCTAGAAAAAGAAAACTTTCCACCTAATTGTAAACCTTAATGGCATGTGGGAAATCCAAGCCTAACGCTTGCTTTCCATGATTTTCTAGAGGCGAGTAATCTAACGTTGTAAAGACATTTGCTAATTCTTGTTTTGTTTCAGTTTTGTATTTTTTTTCTTTCAGAGGAGATATAAGAAAAATAATATTTCGTTGTATTCGAATTAATGAACATTTAACTATGTATATCAATTAATGTTGTTCGATTTGGCATTTTTCTTGTACTATTTTTCCAAAGTAGATAATTTTAGAGTTTTTTTTTGGGGTTTTTGTATTTTTTTTTTCGTTTTTTTTATTATTGTTGTTGTTGTTGAGTTTGTTTAAGTTTAAAACATCATTACATACCTGAATAGGAGCATAACACCTTGTACAAATGATTGGAAGTTGTTGTGCCTAGTTATCGTATTTTCCACTGTCCCTAGTTTGATATTTCCGAATACCTATTTGCGATACAATAACAACAATACACACACAGCGACACACGCGTTACGAATGTCAAAAGAAGTTTTAGTTTTTTTTGGTTTTTGTTTTGTGAGAAAATGATTGAGTTTTATAATAATATCAAAATAAAAATTAAAGAAAAAAATAATAATTTTCTTATAGATACAGTAATGGTTAATAAATAATATAAAAAAATAATATTTACTAATACCAATAAATGAAAATAAAATCATATTCAAACAAAATCAAACGTTATCTTTAGTTGTGGAGTGTTTCATGTAAATGATCAGAACGAAATTATAGAAAAGCGTTCTAAATTTTTTTAAAATACAAAGAAGAACTTGTTAACTACAAATAACAACTCGTTAAAAAGAAACAACTTTTTTTTGGATATTTTGTATTGTTTGTTTTACATTAAAAACAATTTGCAATATATATTATTACTAAACAAAATTCAACAATTTGGATATTGGTTACTAGGGTTAAGCACAGTTTTCGCTAAGATTGTGTGAATGTTGGTGTTGGCATAAAATTAATTGCTTTGCATTACTATTTATATATAATTTATGTAAATAATAATGGGTGGATTTAAAACTCGAAAATTAAAGAATTATTTCTGTTGTGATTTTAAAATAAATCAGTTATGAAATTTTTTTTCTATATAACGCCTTAAAAGTTAATAATCTCTATACCACTATATATTCATATGTATTTGAGAATTAGAATGCTACACATAATTCGAAGCATTTTAATTGTAATTCGAGAGTTCCATGTGTGATTCATAATATTCCAATTCCGTTTGTAATTCGTTACATTCTCAATTTTCATTTTTATACCCTCCACTATACATAGTTAAGTTCGTAATTCCGTTTGTAACTCATAGAAATAATAAATTTAGACCCAGCGTAAAATTCTAAGAAGAAACTATCTTCGTATGTCTGTCTTCTTTAAACACGCTACAGTCAAAACGAATTAAGATTGGAAGCTAAAAATTTCCAAAGATCTGTCTTTTGTCTGCAGTTCGAAGATGGGCTACATCGGTGTACGATTACGTTTAGCCCCCATATAACGGAGTTCCTTGAGAGTACTTTATCCTCTGGAAGATAATTGTCTATATAGATCCCCGATATCGTATAGCCCCCATATAATGGTACCCCCTGATATTCGGTATTTTGATGATTTTAGCCACGTTTTTCAACGGAATTGTCTGAAATTATACACAAGGAGTTATTTTTGAGTACTTTACCACCAGACATAGATTTGTCTATATAGGTCCACAATATAGTATATCCTCCCATACATCGGCATTTCCAATATTCGGTATTTTTAAGATTTTAACAGAATTTTTAATGGATTTTATTTTTATTTATTTATTTACCTATTTATTTATTTATTTTTTTTTTTTTTTTTTTTGAAAAATTCCCAATTCGTTCCAAATGGTGGATGGTATCCCAAGTTCGGCCCGGCCGAACTTATTGCTTTTTTAATTGTCTTGATTTTTATTTATTTTTTAGATTTTTTAATTGGTAGTTGAAAAATAGGACAACTTTTTTACACTGACTATTTAGGCTCTTCGAATTACAAATTTTGAAATGGAATAATTCGAATTTGAAGTGAAATTCAAATTACGCTGAAATACTTCAAATTATATTATGAAAATCTACACTCCTACTCCTTTTCAATGCGTAATGTCTCTGAAATTATTTTTTTTTTAATTTTTCTGAGATTCATATTTTTCTTAATATATTAAAAATCTGTAAACCAATTAGTTTATCAAATCAGCATTCGAGACAAAAATACCTTTGACATTTTTATACCCTACAACACTATGTGTTGGGGGTATTATAAGTTTGATTGGGCCAAAAATTATGTAACACCTCGAAATATTGGTTTCCCACATAGGAAAGTATATATGGATCTTCCTAGCTCGCCGAGCTGAGTCGATCTAGCTATGTATGTCCGTCCGTCCGTCTGTCCGTCTGTCCATGTTAATTTGTAATCACTCTACAGGTCGCAATTATGGCCCGATCTTCACGAAATGGAGGTGGGGCTAGGGTCAGAATAGAACCCTATTTCTTTTGGACATGATCGCATAATATTTAGGGGTCGAAATGGACCAAAAACTGAAAAAATGTCGGATTTTGCAGTAGCTATACAAGTCGCAATTATAGACCAATCGACGCGGAACTTCGCATGTAGCTAGAGTTTAGGGCGGGGAAGAAGCCTAGCAATTTGGGTTGTCATCGGATAATATTTAGCGGGTAAAATAGACCATATCTTTTGTGTTGAAAAAATTCAAAAATTTTCATTAAACCGCCAATATTTTAAATCCCGGCGAAATTACAAAGCCATGACAAGGTTACTTCTGATCTTTACATTGATGTTAACATCCAACAAAACGGATATATAGCAAAATATGTGCGTCTATCAAAGAAGATATGCTTGAAAGATCTGTTATATGTCGAGAACGGCTGAACTGATTTCGACAGTTCTCATTAATTCAAAATGGCCTCTTGGCAGGAAAGAAAAAAACGTTTAAAAAATCGCATAAAAATATCTCTCTAAAGATGAAAATATTGGTTTTGTAACATTTTCTCATATTTTTTCAATTTTGTCTTATTTTTGGCATATTTTCATTTTCAATAAACATTTGGTAATATTTCTACAGCTAACAAAACTAAGTAGTTAGGATATCATATACAGATCGCATTTATGGCCCGATCCTTACGAAATGGGGATAAGATGAGGGTCAGAATAGATGCCTACTCTTTTTGGAGATGATCGCTATATATTTAGGGGTTGAAATGGACCAAAAAACTGCAAAATTGTCAGCAGGTCATAATTATTGCCCGATCCTTACGCACATTTGGATGGGGGTTACCGGACATTGCAAAAGCCAAGCAGTTTCGGATGGCCATCCAAAAATATTCAATGTGTGAAATAGTTTGCCAACTTTTGTAGACAAAATACGAAAATGTCCATTCCAGTGACTTTTTAGAGAATTCACAAATACAGGAAAGACGCAAGACAAGAATATAGTCAAAAGGCTGTATCTCATGTAGATGCGTTTCAGTCAAAAACAAATAATAAATGTTAATCTTTTGCCACTTCTGAGAGGTTATAGGTCTTTGGAAAATATTGGTTCCAGATCTAGGAAGACCAGGAAGTTGCTATTATTCGAAAATTAGAGAACGAAACCTGATGGTTTTCTTTTATTATTTGTCACAATATCTTGTGGAATTCTTTCGAGTGTCGCGCCTATATAAACTATATCGTTTATTATAGTGTTGTAGGGTATTCAACGGTCGGCCCCGCTCGACTGTAGCCTTTGCTTACTTGTTTTATTACTCAATTCAAAAATTACGAATGATGGTGGTGTCACGAATGGAAATTTTCGGATCTTAAAACAGAAATTGGTGGAAAATTAGTAACAACTCATTATATGGCTGCCCAAAATTTTGAAGAAAACTCACTGACTGATAAGACATCTGTTGCTGGGAGAGCCTTAGATGGAATTATTGAGGCTATAGAGGACAAATGATAGTCACTCTGCCAATTCAAAAATGACCTAAGTGCTCGTTTGGCTAATATTGTTGTTATATCCTCCACCATATATACAGGGTGAGATGAAAATACTGCAACCAATTTCAGACAGCTGTCATTTCTAAGCCACTCGTTCGACAGCTGTTAAAATTATTCCAGTGACAGTTCAATATACTGTTTGCAAGCGGTCATAAGAATTTTGGCATGAATTTTCTAGAAAAAAAGTAAAAAAGTGGCTATCGTTAGTGGACTCCAGCATGTAAATGTTAATAAATCTATTGTGTCTCGTACCATCGCTCGTTACCGTGATATTGGTAGCGTAGCCCGATGTCAAGAAAGTGGACGGAAGAAAACAGCAACATCAGAAGAAATGGTTGGAAAAGTAAAGAAGCGACTTAATCGAAAATTTTCTCGTGAGCTGAACATATCGCAATATTCCATTCGGAAAATATTGAAAAATGAGCTCGGGGTAAAGCCATTGAAATTCCAAAAAGTGCAAGAACTTACAATGCAACTGAAAGAAAATAGACTCAAAAGAGCTGAAGAGTTGCTTCGCTTGGCCGATAGTGGTAAATAGCCGAATTTGGTTTTCTCCGCTGAGAAAGCATTCGCTGTCCAGCAGTTCGTAGACAAACAAAATGATCGTGATTACTTGCCAAAGAGGTCAGCTGAAAATGTGCACTTTCGGTTGGCCACCAGAACTCAAGCGCCGGCCATGGTGATGGCGTGGGCCTTCATAACAGCTGATGGTCGCTCTTCGCTCGTATTAATCGACAGCGGCATCAGAATAAATGCCAAATATGATCGCGAAAACATTCTGGAAGGTGTATTAAAGTGGTATTTGGACATTCCAACAGGACAATCGTACCCATCACGCGCCATCCAAAAATGGTTACAAAATGAGGTTCCTCGCTTCATTTCCAGCGCACATGGCCACCATAATCTCCGTATAGCAATCCGTTGGACTATTGTGTCTGGAATATTTTGGAAAGCGAGAACGGCACTAAAAAGTACCAAAGTTTCGATCACCTCAAGCAAGCGCTTCGCCGGGAATGGACCAAAATACCGCAGAGCAACATTCGGGCAGCGTGTGACGGTTTCATTGGCCGTATATAAAGTACGGTTTTGGCCCTAAAGTGTGTTTAGCGTTACGATTAATAATTACAGGCATTTAGAAAAAAAGCGGACTTTTGATGTCTTCTAGGATGTGAATTAGAATTTTATGGCAAATAATTTTGTGGTATATTTTGTTTTGTTAAAAGGAGTTTTAGCTATTATTTGGAAAAAAGATCAAAAAGACCCATATAATATATATAATAATATTCGTATTGTCGTCATAACTAATCTGTAAAATTTCAATATTCTAGCCTTAGTGGTATAGAATATTAGCACAAAAAAAAATCCTAAAAGACATTTCCAAAAATCTTGTCTCATTTCCCATTTACTCTCCAACAGT